GGAGGAAACAAACAGCCTACTCCGAAGTAGTTATTTTGTCTGCTAGCGAGGGCTAGCCAACCCTTGGCCTGTACAGCGTAAAGCACTCAAACAAAGACCTGGTACTATACAGTCACTGTGCTACAAATAAAACCGCGTACGTATTCTATACCGCCAGAGGGAAACACATCAACACGGGAGCCGAGTGAGCGAACGAACGAGAAAAAATCGATAGTCCAAAGCCGGCAAGTTCAGCCGGTCCGTCAAAACTCTCATCGATATTGGAAGTAGACGCTTTAAGAATGGACAGCCGGTCAAGCTCTCCGAAAAGTCAGCAGGAAATAAAAGCTATTCATGTGAGCCACTTAAAGTTCACGGATTTTCATCCGAGAACTCTCATCCCTGCGAATCGGAGGTCAGTCAGGTGGCGCCTATACTTTCTTCTCCCTACTTTTATTTGCTCCTGTGCTCGATCCCATGGAGGCCGTATTGGTTGTACGAGTCGGGGTCGCGGGGCACAGGACTATTGACCCTCTCCCCTCTCTCTGTAGGTGGTCTCAGGCTAAATTCCGGGAAAGACTAGGACTAAAGCTAGTGTTGTGGCTATGAGAATTAGTGTTAGAATTATAATTTAAAAACTGGTGTTGTAACCACCGAGAATAAGTGCGAGTCGAGATGTAGTTGGAGGATCTATATTTCTGTGTCCCAGCTTGGCACTTGCCCAAAAATATATGTTAATACTTCCCAGCGTGCTTATAAAGAGTGAGATTGGGTGTGTACGCAAAGTCATTCGTGTACATATGAATGATTCCGGACACCGCGTGCACCCCAACAAAGTCTTCCGGGTAAGTTACAAGGTCTCAAAAAAACGTCTAACTACTGGTACAGTGTGTACTTAGAATAACACAAGTGACCGCAGGCAGATTTTGCAAGCCGGTCTTGTGTACACTTAAGGGTTTCGTGCAGGGCCTGCATTCATCCCGGCCGAACGTCTGTTAGCTTGCTAACTGCTCGCAATTTTCCGCTCCCACCCCCTACAATGTTCTTCCCAACCGTCTCCCTATCCAGACTAACCCTCATCCCTGACTAGGCTGATGTTAAATGCCTATAAGTATCAGCTTACTTTCATTCCCTTTCAATTGTGTGAGAAGATGCGCATAAATCGGCTTCTCTTATTACTCACACTTGTTAATTACCGCCGTTATCATAACTGTACTCGCCTAATGAGGACTCATCCAACACAAACCTATGTTCACCCAATAGTTTTCTGAATGGTTCTATCGGAAGTTGTGTAACTGTAAAATCCCTGATCACTGAAAGTCTATTTTAATGTGGATCTGCTAGCAAGTCTCTTGGCATTCATGTTCGGAGAAATTATGAGGAAAACTGACTGCACAAACTATTGTTAGAACATATTTCCCCTACATTGATTTGAACTGAGATCATACCTAAGGGTCCGAAAATACAACATAAGGAATTTGTGATTGACGTCGCTCACAGACCGGAGGCAGCAACCCGCAGGCAACTCGCGTAGCCTAAAGAACCAATATTTATTAACCAAAATCCCGTGTCATTTACCGCATCGACTGCCTTTGCGGTCTAGCCAATTACGTTGGTGAAACCGGCTAACAGGTCCTCACGAGACTGCACTAGCACGAACTCGCCATGCGACGGGAGGAAAAGTTTGCCTTGGTAGCCGCTAACGTATCCACGCCAGGGCACGGCTTCGATTTCGAACGCGTGCGAATACTGTCAGTCAGACGACCGAAATTCACGCCTGTTGCAGGAAGCATGGCATTCGCGCGCGGATTCAGTTAATAGGCATATCGATCTTCCTGATGCCTATCTCACGTTGCGCGCACAGATCGGGGACAGTGGCTAAAGTCACGCCCGGTGGAGCTGAGTTAAATATACAGTGAGCTGTACATTTTTTCATTCCTTGACAATGGGCTCGCTTGAGAGTTCGAAACATCGGACAAATAAGCCACTGCTCCCAGAGAACGCTTTACCGTCTTTTATTCAACTTAAGGATTATACCGATTTGTACACAAAATGCTGCGTTTATTAGCTTTAAGGTCAGGCCTTTAACGCGAAACAAAAAATGTAGGCCGGTGTAGACACCTGTCCCCTCAGGCTCCTGGGGACCCTTTATAAAGATGCAAAAGAGGCCTTCCTAAAACAATGTCATCTTATTTGAATCATTGGTAGTGTGAAGAAAGCCACGACCCGTTTGAGTGAATGTATTCACCTTTAGGTATCATGAATGTCGCAATTACTAGAATATACTTTGTGTTGGTCCACCTTAGGAGGTCTAAAATAACGTCAACAATTAAGTCTGCGAAGTTAATAACTAATAAGATTGAAAATATCAGGAGTCTTCCTAATTTTCCATTAGTAAGCCAAAAAATCATTATTTTGCCAAATCGCAAATTCTCTGATTCCAATCTACTCTGACTCTGGTTCCACACGCCTGATAGTAGCAAAGGTCTGTTTGCAATTGAAGGGAACTCAAAATGTCAGTTTGGCTTTCATGATATCGCAAAAACAGGGAACTGCCCTAGTGATGCAAATAAGTGTTGGGAATTTCATAATTTTCAGTGCAACGCCTGGCGTCCTCTAAATGGGGAATAGGATTCGGGACTGGAATTTTATCAAAGGTGTTGCTACTATATTCGTGTCTTCTTAGCCTTGGATATATGGGGATATCCAGTCCTTACTCGTTGGACGGACATGGCCTATGAGAAATCAAAAGAAAAGTAGTATCTTTTCAATCAATTATTTTTTGTTGAGACGTCAGATTTCATCTGGTGAGAATATTCTCTAACCTAGATTTTGAGAATTAAGATGGAAGAGGGTAAATAGGAGAGGGTGCTCCCTCAGCCGCTGCATTTAATTTGTGTGGAAACGAACGCGGGATAACTATTCAATGTTGCCGAGTGTGCATAATCCACTGGAATGCTTGACAGATGCGCACCTCAATTAGTCTGTTTCAAAATTAACTTACGATGAAATCGATAGCACTTCGATTCGCTCACTCGTCCCTCGTCCAATCATTACTTGATTTACGTGAATAGTTAACGATCCAATCACGTGGCTCAAATACTTCCACGTTCATTGGCTATCATGCCTCCACTCAGAGCAGACAGCCATATCTGCTCACGTCATTTCTGACACGCGGACAAATCATACATCTGGAGCTGAAGAAGCGCCAAAGTAGGCCTTCATCAGACCTTTTCTCTTGCTCTGACTTGCGATAAAGTCGACATTTAAAAGACTTGACCGAAATGGAGCAAGACCTGCCAATCTTCAAAGAAATTCGTGATAGTTTCGGACAGCTTGCCCTGCAAAATGTTCGCCACTGGGAATGGGCAGTGATTCGTACAGGCACAACCAAAGAGCAACTGTATTTCCTACATAGTTGCGTTCGAAATAACCTCTTCCCCAAAAGCGTGCATTACAAACCACCTGTCCAGACGAACAGAGCCCGGGAAATAGCGAGAACTATGTCGAAGAAAATGCTGCAAGAACTGATCACCGACGCACACAAACGACTGGAAAAGTACACTGCTGCAATATACTACTGGAGAGAAAAATGCGCTGAGCTATTAAGCGATGAATGGATTTCAAAGCTAGATAAAGCTATTGAAAAGCAAATGAACGTAAAAAGGAAGATAAAAAGGGAACGTTTGAATCAGAAACTTGAAAACATGAAACGTTCAGACAAGGAAAACAGAAAAAACGTGGAGATGCAACTAGAAAATTTATGTATCTCACCGAGGTCTGCCTTGAACATCGAAATTGAAGAAGAAGCTTTCAACTCCTCTCCAGACACTGAGGACCTACCGAGCTTTGCAGCGGCCCTACAACTAAGCCTACAGGATGAAGGTCAAACTCGGTGCCCATTTAAGTGTCATCAAGGTGGTCAGTCATTTTCAAACCCTCATCCTATTGCTTGAATTGGCTAATTCAGCATAAACTGTGCCACCCATTTGTATTTTAAATACATTTTATATTCCCCTAACTCTGAGTTCACTTTTCCACTCATCTTACGTTTTCCTGAAATAATTCGACTTCCACCAAGGCTTAGGCAACTAACGTGCCCCTTATTAAGCTTACTACGAAAGGACAGTGCTCTCAGTGTACTTTTAAGTGAAGCCAAAGGACAACTCATAGGTATCCTATAGTAATGTTAATTATGCTGTCTACTTTTTAATGGTACATAACTAAAAACTGCCTGCTGCACTTCAGTATTCTTCATTTTTGCATAAATACTTTGGCAGTTATGCAGTTTTTAAATGTGTGGCTCAGGTAGAAGGCAGAAATGGAATTCGATTGATCTAGGATAGATACTTAAACTATTTTAAGAGCGAAATTTGGTGGATCGGAGTGCACTGATCGGCTGTAAATGCTGGCAAGCCGCTTGAAGTAGTAGGATATTTATGAATTAATGCCTGCCCTTCAGGGACTAAGTGTTTCCAGACCTTTACATGTAGTCACTAGGGTAGTGAGTGCACCACAGGTATTCAAGTGCATCAAGTCAAGCCCCGAGCTGCTGAAGACACCATAACGAGGCGTTTTATTGTAAACGGAACCCCGAGTTGCTGTCTCGGACCTCAACCATCACTGGCAAGGCTAGGACCTGTGCAGACGATGTCAAGTCATGTCCAAGAGCGTGAAATAGTGATATCAGCCACCAGGCTTACGGGAGCCTGATTAAGTGTGTTCGAGTCGCACTGGTGTGTGTTGTCTTGGCCAGGGTGTGGCATACTCACGTGGGACACAGACGACTGCGACCGTCTGAATGGGCGCATGTGTAACGAACCACGCGTCTTACCCCTTTCCCTTTTTCTACTTACTCATTACTTTACAATAGAAGGTCTTTCATGTTACCAGCCTGATATTGTTCTTCGTCCTTTACGTGAATTGGGGGTGATAGAAACTCTGTTCCGTGTTACTTAACCGGAGAACTACTAAAGATCTCTTAGCCGCTCGTGTGTGATCCAACCTCAACTTCTTCGGCCGCTGCATATGTGCACAGACCATAAGGCCAGCGCGTCTGGGACCATTCGCTGTGGAGGTCAGTGACCCTGACGCAAGGACTTAATCAAGGAGGTGAAAATGACGACTGTGAGCAGCAGGCATTCAACTATAAAGACTGATCACCGGTAGAATTGAGTGGGGGCACGAGAGGCGGCCCCATCGTCGAAGTTTCGTTTGCTTATTTAAGTGTGGTCTTACAACAAGTCATATGGAATATATTTAAGACTCAACGAGCACAAAACATGCTCCTCGTGTAGAAGCCGTGTAGATTTACAAGCATATACCTTCATGTGTCTTAACGCATGTTACTATAAGTAATTTTATGAGCGGAGACTTGGTTTGCGACCTAGACGCTATTATGATAAAGCATAGGACAATGAGAACAACTAGAATGATAAGGAAGAGCATAGTTATTTTGGTGAAGAAAATCCTTTTCCGGAAATGGACCTAACGAAATGTGAGCGTAGTTTGAAC